GAGAGTATTTTTCAAACCTCCAAACTGAAGTACATTGTTTCTAAACTATTGAGGAAGGAAAGTAACTATGTAGTATTCTCTTCCCCTAGGTTTTTTTTTTTTTTTTTGGTTTGGTTTTATTTTTATGAAATAGTTGTAGGAAAATGTTTTTTGAAATGAAACTTAGCAATAATCTTTAAAATAATAGCCATTTGTTTATCCATTTGGTATGAGAGGTGGGGAAAAAAATGACAGGATAAAACTTATGTTGTAGTTTAGAAAATTATTTCAGGGACTGGAGACGCTCATGAGACTGTGCCCACAGGATTCAAGGCATTCTGAAGAGCTGTGGGATATGTCTGGTGACTTTACATGAATGTTGCTATGCAGTGTGATTTTGGACAATGGTCACACTGAAGGACTATAAGAAAAAATTACATAACCTCAAATCTGACCAGACTATTTCTTATCCTGATTTTAGTTGGAAAGAAACACAGCAGACAATTTGACCCCTATAGAAAATACCAAATTCTTGTAAAGCAGCTGTTTCTTGAAAATAGTGTAACAGGAAACTGTAGAGCATAGTAAATTGCACTATTTTTTTTTTTTTTTTTTTTTCTGTCTAGGGCGCTTTTCACCAAACTGGCTGCTTCCCCTCTTTTAGGATTCAGTCCATGCCCAATTCTCGGTGAGGCTTTCCTAACTACACCAATTAAAGCAGCCCTTCCTCAACCTTTGTCCTACTTCAATCACTCTCCAACAAATGTACTCATTTCCTTTACAGTGCTTGCCACTGCTGGAAAAGGTTGTCTTTATTGATTTAGTGTTTACTCTTTGCCAAACATAACACTTCTTGAGAGAGGGGCCAGCTCTAGCTAAAGTACCATTGTCATTCTTTTGACAAGTATTTGTTGATCTGTCAGAAGCTGGGTATAAAATGTCGAGTAGAGCAGACATGATCCTTGCCCTCATATAGTTTATGACCCAGTGGGAAAAGTGTATTCTAGTGCAGCAGAGAAAACAAACACCTAGACAAACAAATATAAAATGATAACTGTAGGAAGAGCTAGAAAGGAGAGAAAATGGCCTATGAGAGCCTATAATAAAAAAATCTAATTTATTAAGTAGATCAGAGAAGTTTTCTCTGAGGAAGAGACTTTTAAGCCAAGATTTAAAGGATGAGCAGACATTAATTAAGTGAAGAGAGTCCAAGCCTACTGAGCTACACAGCAGGAGAGAAGCTGATGCATATGAGAAACTGAAAAGAGAACTGACATAGCCGGAACCCAAGTTGTCTTGGGGAGAGAGACACAAGATTAGACTATGGAGATCTGCATGGGCTGGGATATGTGGGGCTTTCTGTGAGTTGTGACTTTAACCTGAGAATCATGGGATTATTGAATATTGTAAGTGTGCTAGTGTGTTGGGGTGGGTGTATGTATTTACAGGGGAGTATAATCAGATCTGTGTTTTGTTAAGATGACTTTGATTGACCTGTAGAGGACATTCAATTGGAGAGATCTAAAAAAGGGGTGCAGATAGACCATTTAGGATGTCATGGCCATTTTTCTCAGGAGAAATGATAAAAGTCTGGGTTCGGGTAGTGCTGATGGAAAAGCAAATAGGTAGGTAGATCCAAAAAAAAAAAAAAAAAAAAAAGGAAAGAAAAAACACAAACATGTGGTGTTGGCTTAAGTTTAAAGGCAGGTATCATGAATAACAAACTTGTTTGATGGGATGAATGTGTAGCATTTTCTGAAAAAGAAGAAGCAATTTTGAGCTATTCAATCCTGAGCTGGGTTTTGGCATGTTCATTTGGAGGATGTCATTGGGAGGATGGATAAATTATGACTCTACATTTTTTGAGTTTCTATGTGTGAGAAGTTTGGCTACTCCATTTGACTTAAACAATTACTTTCTACTACTGCTTTTTAATAGGCAAATGGGATTCCTGAATTTTATTTCCTACAACCTTAACTTCTGTATAAGGTATAAAGCACCAAGTAGGCCGAAAATCCAGCTACATAACTTTAACTGTACTAAGAATTCATGAATTGGTTGTTGTTGATTTTATCTGTAAAAAAAATTGTGTTCAGTTTCTTTGTACCTGCTATCAAAATCATATCTTGGGATGCCTGGGTGACGCAGTCGGTTAAGTATCTGCCTTTAGCTCAGGTAGTGATCCCAGGGTCCTGGGACTGAGTCCCACCTTGGGCTCCTTGCTCAGCAAGAACCTGCTTTTCCCTCTGCCTACTGCTCTCACTCTCTCTGACAAATAAAATCTTTTAAAAAAATCATCTCTCAAAAATTTAGTGGAACTTCAACATATAATTTCACAGAACCTGAACAGAAATAGTCAAAACTTAGTTACATTTAATACAGACATCCCAGCCAAGTCAATTAACATCTCATAATATCAAATTAGAGTGATTATAGCACATCTCAAGTCATATGGAGTTTTGGCACCCCTGTAATATATTTAGCCTCCACTATTTGTTATCCAGCCAATATATAACAAAGCCAGGCAGGGGATGTTTAAACTAAAATAACACAGTTATGCTGAGATATATGTGTGAAGTACCTTTTAAATGTATCCTCAAAGTGTCTGAACTGTAGGAAAACTACATTAGAAATAACTAACTAGAATATATCTAGAAGATTTAGTTTTTCTCCCTTTATATCATCCTCACTCTGTACAAACTATGGGATAGCACACAGGAATCCTTTCAATTTTTTTTTTTTAAATTCACCTTAACATTACTTTTCTGAAAGAATCCTTATATATATATTTTTTCAGGATCTCTATCATCTATCTATCTCTCTATCATCTATTTATCTATCTATCTAGTCATCCATCCATCCATCCATCATCTATTCTCACATATATATGTGTATTAACCACTCTAAAATGCTTAATAACTATTTATGGTCATTATGTTTGACTAAAAATCTTATGTAAAATCCAACTACTTTAAACAATAACTTTCCACAACAGTAACAGTAATCTAAATTACTATAAAAACAATAATTCTGACACATGCAAAATATACAAATATATAGGCAAAAGGTATAATTTAATAAATTCTATCTTTCTGAGTGAACATAATAAATATCAACTTGATATCTTATTTGGGAAAATTCATCAAATAACCTAAACAATCTGCTCACACATTAAGTGGTTAAGAAAATGGAATTTGTGAATAATCTTAAAGGAAAAAACAAAACCTCCCATGATTTACCATGTTGTTTCATCATATTTTTCTCTGACTTTAGAAAAAAAAATTAGTCTTCCCTAACTGTAATTTAATTTTATACTAAAACCAAGTGAGATATATAGTCCAAAAATTTAATCAGCCTCTACCAAAAAAAAAAAAAAAGTATAAATGCAAGCAACCACCAGAAAAGCAATAGCATGTAAATAATGATGGGCCAACAAGGTATACAAGTCTCTTCATTGACAGCAAAGTGATAGGAAAACACAAAATTGAAGAAACATATGTCGCATTTGGAAAGAGTAGTAAGTAATTGATCAGTTGTGTCCATCACTGCAAATGATCAGTCCTGATATTTTCTCATGGTTATACAGCTGGCTAAGAAGAAATTCTTACTAACAACCATGTGTGCTCTTCTGGATGTTTAATGCAACATAAAATTAGTGACATCAACCTGAGTGAATTCACCATCCATAATTTTGAAAGTCTTACATCTTCATCGAAAAATATTTGCAGGGCGCCTGGGTGGCTCAGTGGGTTAAAGCCTCTGCCTTCGGCTCAGGTCATGATCTCAGGGTCCTGGGATTGAGTCCCGCATCGGGCTCTCTGCTCAGCGGGGAGCCTGCTTCCTCCTCTCTCTGCCTACTTGTGATCTCTCTCTCTCTCTCTCTGTCAAATAAATAAATAAAATCTTTAAAAAAATTAAAAAAAAGAAAAATATTTGCAAGCAGTATACAGAAACCTTTCAGCTGAAACTCATTTAATATTGTCTACCCCGTATTGAGCATATTGAGGAAAGAAGGGAATATTCTAGCCAAAGTAGGGAATATTTCTGTTCATAAAATGTGTCCAGTGCTTCTTTTTTTATAATAACATCCATTATTTTCTAATTATATGCAAAAACATATTAGAAATTTAAGAAGATACAGAAAAAAGATAAAGAAGGAAATGAAAATCACCTATAATTCTATTTCCAGAAATAGTCACTATTACCATTTTGGTGTATTTCTTCTCAGTCTATTATTATGGATATGTACATATCTAACACAACTAAAATCACACCATTTATAGATTATTCTATATTGTTAAATATTATTTAAAATCATTAATTTTATTTTTTATTATGTTCAGTCAACCACTGTATAGTACATAATTAGTTCTTGAAGCAGTTTTCTATGATTCGTTAGTTAAGTATAACACTCAGTGCTCATCATGGCACATGCCCTCAATACCCTCGAGTTGTAAAAGTGTACACAATAACAAATTAAATATGTATACAGGAGTATATTTTAACAGGTAATATATTTATGGGGATGTTTTCTATTTCCAATGTTCATGATTAGAAATACAATTTTTGCAACTGCTCTCTACATTTCTTAATTCAGTGACATTTAAATATTCTTAAGCATCAATGTTTCACTTTTTTAAAAAAAAGTTTCACCTTTAAAGGTATAATAAATCATTCATCAGACATATAGAGTACCTACAAATTTTTAGAAACTTGAAAACTTTTTGAAAAATAATGTGGATTTTAAAAACAGTCTACTTCATACAAATCACTACATTTAAAGTCTCTTATTACTTCAAAAAGGCACGTTTTCAAAAGCATTCTTTTTTTTAAGATTTTATTTATTTATTTGACAGAGAGAGAGAGATCACAAGTGGGCAGAGAGGCAGGCAGAGAGAGAGGGAAGCAGGCTCCCTGCTGAGCAGAGAGCCTGATGCGGGGCTTGATCCCAGACCCTGAGATCATGACCTGAGCCAAAGGCAGAGGCTTAACCCACTGAGCCACCCAGGCACCCCTTCAAAAGCATTCTTTTCCAGTGTTCTCCATGTTGCGCTGATGCCACTTGCAGCAAGTCCGTATAATGAGGAAAATGCCTAATCTTTTGCCGTATGGGTGGCTGTAGAGATACTATCCCAGAAATGTGTTCTCAAGCAGATTTCTGTCTTCTTATAATGAAGAAAAGTCATCTGGAATAGCTTGGTACTGAAAGGTGTTGTTCACAAATATAGCACCTTGACAGGTAGAGTCTTGTTGATTGTCAGAATCAACTACTAGTGCTGTATAAAATAGTCAGCAATTACAACAATGTTCATTGAATTGTCATACACAGTTAGCTAAGAAATGCTTAGCTGCAAGTTGTCTTTATAGTCAAAATAAAGTGGAAAAATGAGTGAAACAGTTACCTAGGTAGTTCAAATTAATATACTTAATAGAGTGAAAAATATATGTTTTCAACAATTAACCTCACTTTTTTCTCTTTGATTTTTAAAATTATCAATATTTAATTGATTATATTTCAAATTTATATATGTAAAAAATTCATTAAAACCCTTATGTTAGGATCTATGAAATCCATTATTACTCTTTTTATTCTATTTAGTAAATAGTCATTAGTTAAGTGTGTAAAAAAGTAAGTATTTTAGAGACCCTTAGAATAACAACTGTGTTATCCAGTGTGTTAGGGTTCAAAACATGTAGAAACACTTGTATGCAAAACCACCAATTCAATATTCTATCTAGTAATTAGCACCGTAAGGAGGCCAGTCAAAGCCAGGAGTGGGACTAACCTAGGTTGTCTAGGACACGGACTAAACAATTGTTTTCTGTTTTTTGTTAAGGTAGTATCTGATAGTTTTCTCCATTGGAAAATTACTATTTTCCCCTTTGAAATTAATAAATATTTTCTGTTTTTTGTTAAGGTAGCATCTGATAGTTTTCTCCATTGGAAAATTACTATTTTCCCCTTTGAAATAAATAAATATTTATTTATATTCCCTATAAATATTTATTTGTCACCATTTATTTTAGCGCCCATTGTTAATCCTTGCCTAGAACAGTTACTACTGTAAAATATGTCAAAAGGTAATTCTCTATCATTCCTTCTATATTTATTAATTGGAATACTGCAATAAAGAACTTTCCTTTTATTAGAGTAAATAATTGTTATACGTTTCCTGAAAGAACTAGAAAAACAAATTTAGAACTTTGCCTTTGACTCCCAATCCATAACCTCTAAACAATGATAAAAATTGGCATGTGACTTTCAATTTCTCTTTAGTGACAGAATTAGAAGGAGTGCTCATGATTTGACTGACAGTTAACAAAAACGGGGAAACATAGGTCTTCTCTATCTCAATCCCCCAAGTATGCTTTATATTAAAGCCTTCACCACCCTCAAGAAACAACTGTGATTTATCCCTAATGTTAACATAGTAATTACTACCTATATTTTATTCTGATAAGGAAACACCTTTATCAGAGAAAAATTAAAACGTACCCACTAGCCCACAGATCTTCTCTTCTTACATCTGAAAGGACAGGGTCACAATGGAAAAAGGATTTAAACCACCAGCTGGATTCTTCCACTTTCAGTAACCCTATCAAATAAAAGTCATATTACCCCCTTCTCAAACACATTTGGAAGATTAGAAACAAGGAAAATAATGAGGGTGATGCTGATAAGAAATAAACCAAATACCTTGTTGGGATTTGTCATCAAGAATGATGTTAACAGAATCAGTTAAAGAGCTAACTGAAGAAATACTGGCCTCTGTAAGAAATAAATGGGAATCAATAAACAAATAAATAATGGCCAAACACACATAGGCATATTGTTTTTGCATAAACTCCCAATTATCAAGTAACATGGTTTGAAATCATTTACTCCTAGATCATTTTCATGAATCAAAAAATGGATTGAATTGTCAATTAAGAAGTTCTGGAAAAGGCATATTCCATGTTTTTTTAAGTTTAAGATAATTTTTAAAGATATGTCATAACGTACGAATGTTCATTCCACAAAATTTTGATGGTAGAGCTTATGATACACCTAGTTGGTTGTAACACTCAGGTTTTCCAGATAGTCATCATTTTTCTCTTGTCTGCATAGACTTATTAGCTGCCTTCCTGTTTTGCTACTTTATTTCAAAATCTCTCTGCTTTCTCTGAGAACCCTTCCTAATTTTCTGGGATCTCTTCATGCTTTTCTGGTGGGCAAGTTCTTGCTAATATCCGTGGGCTATGTTGACCACCAGATCAAGCCTAGAAGAGAGTTACTTGGAAGAGCAACAGTCTCCTAGCATACTCTTACATTTTCTATTAATAGGGTATATTTATTTCCATGCTGGACAATGCTGTGTCTCTCCATAGATATAGATGTAGAATTTAAAATATAAGTGTCATCAAATTCAAAATCTTAGTACAAAATCAAGAATGAATATTAGAAATATTACATGGGCATATATTTAAATTTTCTACAAAAGTTACAAACTTAGAAATAAAGGAATTATTTCTAAAGAATAAACATTTTATTTGTTTTATCATACTTGTATCTTAGACCTGTAAGTCTTCTAAGTGATCAGAATATAAAAATAACTTTTATGGGTATAATAACACTAAGTAAATGGAAACAGTTTAACAATTTTGAAAAAGAAGAAGTCAATAAACATTTGCAACTTTTATCTACAAACAAAACATGATATTAGAATTTTCTACAGGTGGGCATATTTTCATTAAATGATCATTTGTTTCTGAAATGATTGCTTCATTCTAGAAATTTCCAAATTTTCCTTAAGAAGCTATGATTTTCTATTCAGCTATGAATATTCACAGATGGATAGATAAATAAAGATAAAACTGCCAAACAGAACCTGACCTATTATCCAAGAGAAAATGGAAATTAAAGAATCCTTCAAGCAGTCATGTTATCCCTTCTTTTCTAAGAAATACATAGTATTTTCTTTATGTAAAATTATCAGCTTTTAATGTATCCTATTAAATGCAAGATACATGAAATTAAAACATAATTATGAAACATAAGCTTATTTTCACTTATTTATAAGTGTAATAGTTTCATCAATATGCTATAATATAACATAGTTTAAACAAAGAGCTAAGCCTTGACAATATTGATTCAGAGGGGTCTGAATGAGTTCTATTCCTATTTTCTTCACTGTCAAAAACAATTGTCAAGCCTTGTCCCTGAAGTTCCGACCAAGACACGATATGTAGGTTAATAATATCTCAGAAACATCACCTCAAATCACATTCTCTAGGAATATAGTACTCTAGTGATGATACAACTTACTTCGATAATACTGATTTTTGGCCAGCAGGCAACCAATGGAAGGTACTGATGCCATTGTTTTCCCTGTGCAAAAGCACCAGAGAGACTGTGAACAGCAATCTGCAAACAGTGACAAGGAAAGAGAGGTTGTTAATTGCACAGAGTTTCCTTTCATAAATATATCTCCAACTACAAAAAATGCCCGCAACTTATTCTATCTGAAATAATCCTAACAGAAAAAAAAAGTGTTAACACAGCCATGATATACTCACCTATTTGTTTTCTCCAACTTGTTCTTTTAAAATAAATGTGTTCTAAGTATTCCTCAGAAAGCATGCACTGAAAAAGTGGAGGTGATCCAGAAAGTACTGAGTTCTGCAGGCCAGGAGCACACTGCAGCAAATGTGGGTGTGCTCCAGGACCCCTGAGCACACCTTATATTTAGAAGGTTGAAACCTGAGCTGTGGGCACCACAGAGGGAAGTGAAGCTCTTCATCTGTCCGCCCTTCAGCATGTCAGAGTGCCAACCAGGGCTGCTGGCAGCAGGGACAGACTCTGTAAGGTCAGGACTTATTACTGCTGGTTTCTGCAGAATGGAAAGTGATGCCCATGAATTCTCTTGGCCTTCCATATTATCTCACACTGGGGAAAGCACCAGTCTAGGTATCACTGGGGTTGGGGGTGGGTGGGTTACCGTGGCAGCCAGTCTGCAGGCCAGCTGAGGGAACTGGTCATACCCACAGACACAATGATGCAAAACAGAGCCACAGGAATAACTCACAAGGAGGAGCTCCTTGATTCACTGAAGTCCTATGGGAAAGGACATGCACTGCAGAAATGTATGGACAGTGAGGTAGAAATTCCAATGAGACTGATAAAAGACAGGGATGATCAGTAATGAGGGAAATTAGTGACATTATGACATTGTATCAGTATTATTTATTGATTCAAAAGTTATAGTTATATTCTATTTTTGTAGCGTCTCTTAATGTGAACTGTTTTGCCATTTTATAGACTCGGTTTATCATGAATCTAATCAGGGCTCCCCTTTACACAAGGGTGGAGGGATTTTCAGTCCTGTTTCAATTTATCTAGTAGCTATTAGTTTTATCAGCTTAAACCACACAAAATTACTTATGTTAGTTAGTTCCAAATATATTTAAAACTTTGATTTTATTATGCCATCGTGGTTCTTTCTGTCTAGTCCACCTGGTTATGGCTTACTTAGGCTTTTCTTTTTCTGTCTTAATTAATTTTGCTGGGAGTTTCCCTATTATATTAGATCTGTCAAAGAACTATTTGACCTCTTTGTTTCTTGATCTTTATAGTTCATTATTTTTGTATTATTTATTGTTTTTCTTTTATTTTAAGATTATTCTTATTGGAGGAGGAGTCAAGATGGCGGAGAAGTAGCAGGCTGAGACTACTTCAGGTTGCAGGAGATCAGCTAGATAGCTTATCTAAAGATTGCAAACACCTACAAATCCAACAGGAGATCGAAGAGAAGAAGAACAGCAATTCTAGAAACAGAAAATCAACCACTTTCTGAAAGGTAGGACTGGTGGAGAAGTGAATCCAAAGCGACGGGAAGATAGACCGTGGGGGGAGGGGCGGGCTCCCGGCAAGCGGTGGAGCAACGGAGCACAAAATCAGGACTTTTAAAAGTCTGTTCCGCTAAGGGACATCGCTCCAGAGGCTTAACCGGGGTGAAGCCCACGTGGGGTCAGCGTGGCCTCAGGTCCCGCAGGGTCACAGAAGGATCAGGGGTGTCTGAGTGTCGCAGAGCTTACAGGTATTAGAACGGGAAAGCTGGCTACAGAGACAGAGCCGAGGAGTGACTCTCAGCTCGGGGTTACCTTGAACCGGTCGCGGCTCGGTCAGCTCGGAGCGCGGCCGGAGGCCAGGGTGACGGGAGTAATTGGGCGCTGTTCTCTGAGGGCGCACTGAGGAGTGGGGCCCCGGGCTCTAGGCTCCTCCGGGCCGGAGACTGGGAGGCTGCCATCTTCATTCCCGTCCTCCGGAACTCTACGGAAAGCGCTCAGGGAACAAAAGCTCCTGAAAGCAAACCCGAGTGAATTACTCAGCCCGGCCCCTGGTAAGGGAGGTGCAACTCTGCCTGGGGCAAAGACACTTGAGAATCACTACAACAGGCCCCTCCCCCAGAAGATCAACAAGAAACCCAGCCAGGACCAAGTTCACTTACGAGAAGTGCAGTTTCAATACCAAGGAGAGCAGCGGAATTCCAGAGGAGGATAAAGCAAAGCACGGAACTCATGGCTTTCTCCCCATGATTCTTTAGCCTTGCAGTTAATTTAATTTTTTTCTTTTTCAGTTTTTTTTCTCTTCTTCTGCTAATTTTTTTTAACTTTTACCCTTTTCTTTTTTAACGTTTTTTAACTAGTTTATCTAATATATATATATTTTTTTCCTTTTTATATTTTTTCATTATTGGTTTTCTTTTTTTGTTTCTTTTTCTTTTTTCTTTTTTTTTTTTTTCTTTCTGAACCTCTTTTTATCCCCTTCTCCCCCCTCACGATTTGGGATCTCTTCTGATTTGGCTAAAGCATATTTTCCTGGGGTTGTTGCCACCCTTTTAGTATTTTACTTGTTCCTTCATATACTCTTATCTGGACAAAATGACAAGGCGGAAAAATTCACCACAAAAAAAAGAACAAGAGGCAGTACCAAAGGCTAGGGACCTAATCAATACAGACATTGGTAATATGTCAGATCTAGAGTTCAGAATGATGATTCTCAAGGTTCTAGCTGGGCTCGAAAAAGGCATGGAAGATATTAGAGAAACCCTCTCAGGAGATATAAAAGCCCTTTCTGGAGAAATAAAAGAACTAAAATCTAATCAAGTTGAAATCAAAAAAGCTATTAATGAGGTGCAATCAAAAATGGAGGCTCTCACTGCTAGGATAAATGAGGCAAAAGAAAGAATTAGCGATATAGAAGACCAAATGACAGAGAATAAAGAAGCTGAGCAAAAGAGGGACAAATAGGTACTGGACCACGAGGGCAAAATTCGAGAGATAAGTGACACCATAAGATGAAACATTAGAATAATTGGGATTCCAGAAGAAGAAGAAAGAGAGAGGGGAGCAGAAGGTATATTGAAGAGAATTATTGGAGAGAATTTCCCCAATATGGCAAAGGGAACAAGCATCAAAATCCAGGAGGTTCAGAGAAACCCCCTCAAAATCAATAAGAATAGGCCCACACCCCGTCACCTAATAGTAAAATTTACAAGTCTTAGTGACAAAGAGAAAATCCTGAAAGCAGCCCGGGAGAAGAAGTCTGTAACATACAATGGTAAAAATATTAGATTGGCAGCAGACTTATCCACAGAGACCTGGCAGGCCAGAAAGAGCTGGCATGATATATTCAGAGTACTAAACGAGAAAAACATGCAGCCAAGAATACTATATCCAGCTAGGCTATCATTGAAAATAGAAGGAGAGATTAAAAGCTTCCAGGACAAACAAAAACTGAAAGAATTTGCAAACACCAAGCCAGCTCTACAGGAAATATTGAAAGGGGTCCTCTAAGCAAAGAGAGAGCCTAAAAGTAGTAGATCAGAAAGGAACAGAAACAATATACAACAACAGTCACCTTACAGGCAATACAATGGCACTAAATTCATATCTCTCAATAGTTACCCTGAATGTTAATGGGCTAAATGCCCCAATCAAAAGACACAGGGTATCAGAATGGATAAAAAAACAAAACCCATCTATATGTTGCCTACAAGAAACTCATTTTAAACCTGAAGACACCTTCAGATTTAAAGTGAGGGGGTGGAAAAGAATTTACCATGCTAATGGACATCAGAAGAAAGCAGGAGTGGCAATCCTTATATCAGATCAATTAGATTTTAAGCCAAAGACTATAATAAGAGATGAGGAAGGACACTATATCATACTCAAAGTATCTGTCCAACAAGAAGATCTAACAATTGTAAATATCTATGCCCCTAATGTGGGAGCAGCCAACTATATAAACCAATTAATAACAAAATCAAAGAAACACATCAACAATAATACAATAATAGTAGGGGACTTTAACGCTCCCCTCACTGAAATGGACAGATCATCCAAGCAAAAGATCAACAAGGAAATAAAGGCCTTAAATCACTCACTGGACAAGATGGATATCACAGATATATTCAGAACATTTCATCCCAAAGCAACAGAATACACATTCTTCTCTAGTGCACATGGAACATTCTCCAGAATAGATCACATCCTCAGTCCTAAATCAGGTCTCAACCAGTATCAAATGATTGGGATCATTCCCTGCATATTTTCAGACCACAATGCTCTGAAGCTAGAACTCAATCACAAAAGGAAATTTGGAAAGAACCCAAATACATGGAGACTAAACAGCATCCTTCTAAAGAATGAATGGGTCAAACAGGAAATTAAAGAAGAATTGAAAAAATTCATGGAAACAAATGATAATGAAAATACAACGGTTCAAAATCTGTGGGACACAACAAAGGCAGTCCTGAGAGGAAAATATATAGCGGTACAAGCCTTTCTCAAGAAACAACAAAGATCTCAGGTACACAACCTAACCCTACACCTAAAGGAGCTGGAGAAAGAACAAGAAAGAAACCCTAAATCCAGCAGGAGAAGAGAAATCATAAAGATCAGAGCAGAAATCAATGAAATAAAACCAAAAAAAAACAATAGAACAAATCAACGAAACTAGGAGCTGGTTCTTTGAAAGAATTAATAAGATTGATAAACCCCTGGCAAGACTTATCAAAAAGAAAAGAGAAAGGATCCAAATAAATAAAATCATGAATGAAAGAGGAGAGATCACAACTAACACCAAAGAAATATAGACAATTATAAGAACATATTATGAGCAACTCTATGCCAACAAATTTGACAATCTGGAAGAAATGGATGCATTCCTAGAGACATATAAACTACCACAACTGAACCAGGAAGAAATAGAAAGCCTGAACAGACCCATAACCAGTAAGGAGATTGAAACAGTCATCAAAAATCTCCAAACAAACAAAAGCCCAGGGCCATATGGCTTCCCGGGGGAATTCTAGCAAACATTTAAAGAAGAACTAATTCCTATTCTCCTGAAACTGTTCCAAAAAATAGAAATGGAAGGAAAACTTCCAAACTCATTTTATGAGGCCAGCATCACCTTGATCCCAAAACCAGACAAGGACCCCATCAAAAAAGAGAACTACAGACCAATATCCTTGATGAACACAGATGCAAAAATTCTCACCAAAATACTAGCCAATAGGATTCAACAGTACATTAAAAGGATTATTCACCACCACCAAGTGGGATTTATTCCAGGGCTGCAAGATTGGTTCAACATCCACAAATCAATCAATGTGATAAAACACATTAATAAAAGAAAGAACAAGAACCATATGATACTCTCAATAGATGCTGAAAAAGCATTTGACAAAGTACAGCATCCCTT